AAAATTATAAGAGATAAAAGTATAGAACAGTATAAGAAAATCAGGATAGGCAGAACTAAAAAGAACCAAATAGAATTTCTAGAGATGAAATTTAATTATTGAAATAAAAAACTCAATGAACAGCCTAAGTGGCAGATTTGAAATAGCTACGAAAAGAATTATAAGTAAAAGAGAGTTGAGAAAATTAACTGTAATGAATCACAGACATGCAAAGACATGGAAAAATAAAAAAAAGCGATACAACAACATGGAGGATAGAATGAGGAGGTCTAATGTATGCCGAATAGGAACATCAGAAGGAAGGAACAGAGATAACAGGGAAACAGTTTATGTGATACCACTTTAGAATTTTCTAGGATAGAAGACTTTAATCATTAGATTGAAGAAGCAGCCAGAGTCTTAAGCAGAAAAAATTTTTAAAAAAAAGCAAACTCAGACTCATTCTGATCAAATATCATCAAAACATAATATCCAAGACTAAAGGAAGTCTTTTTGTTTGTTTGTTTTAGAGACAGAGTCTCACTCTGTTGCCCAGGCTGGAGTGTAGTAGCATGATCATAGCTCACTATAACCTCAAACTTCTACGCTCAAGCCATCCTTCTGCTTCAGCCTCCCAAGAAGCTAGGATCACCAGTGAACACCACCACACCCAGCTAGTTTTTAAATATTTTTGTAGAGACAGCGTCTCACTATTTTGCCCAGGCTGGTCTCAAAGTCCTGGCCTCAAATAATTCTCCCTCCTCAACCTCCCAAAGCACTGAGATTATAGGTGTGAGCCACCGCAGGAAATCTTAAAAGCAAACAAAAGAGAGATTACTAAGAAAATCAAAAAAGACAAGTAGACCAACAGCAAAACATTTCATTAGCAACAACAGATGCCATAAAACGATGAGGTAATATTTTCAAAATGATGAGGAAAAATAACTAAGAATTCTGTATTCAAGAAGCAATGGTAAGTCAGACATTTTCAAACAAAGATTGAGAGGGTTTATCACTCTTAAACCCTGGCTGAACAAATTATTTAAAATTGTCCTTTAGTTTGGATTCCTTCTTGAAATAATGTTTTTAAAGCCATAAAATGTATAGGATTACAAAGGAAATAAATTCTATTAAAATACAGTCACTCTGGACATGCATATACAAAAAAATGAATTTAGACACAGACTTTTTACCTTTCACAAAAATTAACTCAAAATGGATGATAAACCTAAATGTAAAATGCAAAACTATGAAACTCCCGAAAGATAACATAGGAGAAAATACAGACGACCTTGGGTTTGGCCATGACATTTTAGCTACAGCACCAAAAGAACAATCAGTGAAAGAAAAAATTGATCAATCGGACTTCATTAACATTGAAAATGTCTGCTCTGTGAAAGACGCTGTTAAGATAATAAAAAGACAAGCCACAAACTGAGAGAAAATCTTTGAAAAACACATATCTGATAAAGGACTGGTGTTCAAAACATGTACAGGAGTATTAAAATGCAACAAGAAAACAAAAAATCCCATTAAAAATGGGCAAAAGATCTAAACGAATACCTTTTCTTATATAGGTTGCAAATAAGCATATGAAAATGCTTATTTTTCATATGTCTTTAGGGAATTGCAAGTTAAAACAACAACGAGATACCACTACACTCCTACCAGAATGGCTAAAATACAAAACACTGACAACACCAAATGCTGACAAGGATGTGGAGTAACAGGAACTCTCATCTACTATATTAATAGTTGGGAATGCAAAATGGTAGTCACTTTTGAAGACAGTTTGGCGGCTTCATAGAAACTAAACATACATATGCTTACCATATGATCCAGCAATCATGCTCCTTGGTCTTTACCCAAATGAGTTGAAAACTCATGTCTATAGAAAACATACATACGAATGTTGATAGTGACTTTATTCATAACTACCAAAACTTGGAAGCAACCCAGGTGTTCTTCAATAGCTCAATGGATAAATGAACTATGGTATATCTATATGGCGGAATATTATTAACAATAAAAAGAAATGAGCTATCAAGTCACTAAAAGACATGGAGAAACCTTACATGCATATTGTTAAGTGAAAAAAGCCAATCTGAAAAGGCTGCATAGTGCACGATTCCAGCTACATGACTGGAAAAGGCAATACTACACAGACCGTAAAAAGATCATTGGTTGCCAGGCAGTGGGAGGAGGGAGGAATGAATAGGTTGAGTACAGAGGATTTTCAGGACACTGAAACTATGCTATATGATACTGTAATTATGATCACATGTCATCAAGCATTTTTCAAAACCCACAGAATTTACAACACCGAGATTGAACCCTAATGTAAACTATAGACTTAAGTTAATAATAAGGTATCAATATTGGCTCATCAATTATAACAAAAGTACCACATTAATATAGGATGTAAGTAACAGGGGAAATTATATGCATGGTGAGGGAGAAGGGGCATATATTTGGAAACTGTGTACTTTTCCATCAGATTTTCTGTAAACCTAAAACTGCTTCCAAAAAAAAAAGTCCATTGATTAAAAGAAAATACTGGACAACAGTATCATGACATATGGGAATAAGAAAGTTAGAACATTCTAAGGTACTCATATTATTTAGAAGAAAGATAGAGATGCAGATCATCTTTAGACTTTTTAGTCAAGTGATACACATTAAAAATTTAAGAAAACCCACCAAATGAAGAGGTTAAGTAAAACCAATCTTTGTTGCAAAGCAAATCTATTACTTTTAACTGTGATGGCTTACCTGAGATTCCAGAACCTCCAACTTACATTTCCTTGCATGAAGAGCTTTACTTGGAAAAGCCCAATAATAATTAGAAGTTCCAATCCTCTCACAGTCAACCATACCATCATCAACTAAACTTTGAAGGACTTCCTTTACTGACATAGCAGCTGAGAGAGAGAATTTTTAGACTCCATGTTAAAAAAACACAATAAAATCAAAAGGCAAATAACCGGTGAAACACTTGCAAGAAATATTACAGATCAAGAGTTAGTGAGTTAATAAACAAGGAGCTCTTAAACATAGTATGCACAACAATGAAATTGCTTAATGACGCATTTCTCAGAATATATCCCCATCCTTAAGCAAAACATAACTGTATGAGGGGGTGAGGGGGTGGGATAAAGGATTAAGAATAGGACTTGAGGTCTAATCTTAACTCTTACACCAGTAACACTGGATGACGTTAGGGCAAATTGTTCTTTATGCATAAACGTTTTTCATCTATTAGATGTAATCATTTTCATACTTACTTTGGTATACAGTGGAATTCCAATGAAACATTACTTATGAGAAGTCTTTGAAAAGTAAAAAAACACTACAGAAATGCAAGGTTTTTTTTCCCCCGGTAGATTTTATACTAATAGTAGATCTAGCATTAGTGCTCAGTACATAATTTCAATAGTGTTACATTCTTAAGTCTCTTGCTGTATGGTATCTTTTTTTTTAAAAAAAGTTAATGTTGGCCAGTCGCGGTGGCTCACGCCTGTAATCCTAGCAGTCTGGGAGGCCGAGGCGGGCGGATTGTTTGAGCTCAGGAGTTCGAGACCAGCCTGAGCAAGAGCGAGACCC